AGTTGTGAGAGAATATAACACTCACGGCCACTAACACCTGCATTCACTGACGATTCCATAAAGACAGAGTAAAGAAATACACATTGACACCACAGTGAATCCGTCGCCACCTTCTTCACACACGAACTTCCAATTGTCCACTACGTGCTTCAATCCGCACAGATAAACAAACCAAACCTAGTAGGTTCAGTCGAGGTGACCATCTTCTACGATCCATCAAACTGTTCATATCCACGTGACGTTTTAGCGAATTACTCTTCGCCAAATGACGGACACTGATTCCAATGCCTTATTAGATTCAACTCACTGATTACAGATGAATTGTTCATCTTCACACATAACCAAAACCCTATCTCACATCATCAAACATTGTCAGTTTTTGAAACTAATGTGCATATAGTTATGTGGGTATTTTCGTGGATTGTAGCAAGTGGTGGGCAATTGGATTTTCGAGTGAGGAGAAGAAGGTGACGGCTGCACTGTGACGTATATCCCCAGATCAAGCAGCATAGATGGTCATAGAGGAATCGTGAACGTTATTTACATTTGAAGCGGACCGAAAACGAGCTCGAATTCGTCGCAACAGCGCGTTCAAATGGCATCCTAAGCTCGTTGTGCATTGGATGCTCCCTTCACTCGTCTTCTACATCATTGAAAATCGATGAACAATTGAAAGGCATTCAATCATTATACAAAATCTTCAATGTAATAATGTAATAATCGATGATACATGATCTGAAGAAATATTGCTCCAGCTGAAGCATGCTCCAGTACTTCTTCACAATGTTCTTCCTCCATTGTTTTCGAAAAAATTTCTCGCTATAGGTAGAAAATTATTTTAAATTGTACACGAGTATCGATTGTGTCTCATTATAGTAATTAGATTGTTTAAATATATGTGTAAAACTTGGGCACTGTGGTAGTAAGTAATGCCATATTAGTTTGTTCATTAGATATATCACACAGCGGTGAAACAGTATTATTTACTGGGTTTCGCTAGTCTAGATTTTGAGTGGCTTTTACGGGGATTTAATACCATGGCTAAATATTTAGATAATTCATAAGTAGGTGAATTTCTAAAATCAACTATAGGTCTAATAGGGTATCCTGACTTATGAAATTTTACTACACCATACATTAAACTGGGGCTTTTAGTTTTCCGTATTAAATTAAACCATTTAGACTTACCTAGAAACGGCTTCATCCGGCGCATGAGGTCCTCTCTGAATTTCTTAACCTTATTCATAACGATGTCTATTGATTTATTAATTTCCTCAAATGGTCCAGTTTGTATGTGAGCATTCATCTTGTCCAAATAGTCTGATTTGTCTAATATTACTGTTGCATTTCCCTTGTCTGACTTCGTGATAACTAACTCCTTGATATTCTTAAGGTGTTTTAGGGCTTCCATCTCTAGTTTTGTCAGGTATGGCTTTCCTCGTTTTTGTCGTTTTAATGTTAGTGCACACTGTGCTCGTACTTCATCGAATGTTGTTTTGTTTATCACACTTAGTGCTATTTCTATTTTAGGGATGACATCCTCAGGTTTCAGCTTGTCTACGGCTACATTGAAAATTAGTCCCCTTTCTAATAATACTCTTTCACTGTGTGATATATCTAATAAACAAACTAATATGTAATTACATCATTTAGACTATGTGAAAATGGAGTAAACAGGTCACATTTTAATGGACAGAAAATTTAGATAACCAGGGGATTTAAACAGGCTGCCGTGTTTTAATTCAGTCAATACGTGGATCTGCAAACGTGAGAAAACGATATTTAGTCTAAGAGAAAAAAAGAAGGAAAGTAATTACGAAGTTAGCTGAAACATTCGAATAAGTGTCAGTATTGTAATTATATCGTTCAGGAGGGATTTTCCAGTTATTGAATTGTAACACGTACTCCGGAGATTTAAGAATTCATCAAGTGCTGTTTATTTCACAAGTACCATGTGTTCTCGATTCCGTAAGGAAAAGAAGAAAATTAATTAATTATCATTACTATTATTTGTTTGATTTTATTATTATCATCATTTTTTCTAATTCTATAACCTTTTACCCACCTATTATCCTATTTGACTGTTCATCATGATAAGTTTAAGCTGAATTTTTATATGTACACTAACTATATATATATTTATATATTTAGAAAGCGTGAGATCATGAAAATGATAAACTTGCAGTTGGTGGATGAATGTGTACATCCTTGAAAAACTCCTCCCCAATATGATAAAAATGGTAAAAACTGGATGAATAGTTGGTAGATAATGAGGATGACATACAATTTCCCATTTAAAGAATTATTTACGCAATATTTTACCAGTTTGATCATTTAGCTAAGAAAATTTTCTTTATTGACGAAATCATCTTCAGAGGCTGTACAGTTGTATTTATACTTACCAAAAATATATAGTGGTCTATTATTGAGTAATAGCGGGTAACATAATTGATATAATAACTCAGAAGTGGCTTTAGAAGCGAAAGTTAAGAGTTGTAAATTACGTGGTACTCAACGGCACATAGATAGAAATTTGATAAGGTTAAAATTGCTATTGAGTGAGAATAAAGGTAGTTGAGTGTCAATTTAACAAGTGAGAAGAGTGTGTGAAAATGTACAAAAGGAACATATGAGCGTGATAATAGTGTATTAATTATTAATGCAAAAGCAGACTAAAAGTAAGATTAAAATTACAAAATAGAAAAAAATCAAAATGTTTTATAACAGGGAACGATTAGTGCGAAGGTTAAGACCAAGATAGAATAAGAGACTGGACAAACTTTTTTCTGTATACAGAGTTTAGGGTTGTATTGATGAATTGCCAGCGCCTCCACCATACACAAATGCCGGAAGCTAACACTGTTTGTACACCTTAGTCTTACCTTGTAAATGATTTTGATCGTGTTAGTGTATTGCATTCCTTGAAAAATATTTTGTACACTGACTGTGTTGTGCATTGGATACTCCCTTTGCTAGCCTTCTACATCATTGAAAATCGATAAACAATTATTACTCATCAACATCATCGTCGTCACTACCATTACTACTATTAGTAGTACACTTTGACCCCACCATAATTCTAATTTCAGATTCCAAATGATGTCAAGTAGAGGAAGACAGGAGTGCCACTCTCATTTCAAAAAGTGAATATATTCTGAAGCCTTGGTCCTAAAGAAATCCATATTTTCCCCAATATTTTCTCAATGTGTTATCAAAAACCTTACAAAATAATACTGAGCCTTATTACTATTTTCGTAGTGATTTCGAGTAATTTCGGTGTACATTCCGTGACGAAACAACATCACTCAGGCGCATTACTGAACGTTGTGGAGCATTGAATAGCTTTCTTTATTTCTAACACCTAGGTACTTACTATTCAGCAGTGTGTACCTTCCCGTGATCTCACAAGAGATCGAACCAAGGTTATTCAAGTCAAAGAATTCACCCCGTTGATAGCCAGCTACTCACTACTTGGCGCCATTCAACTGAGAAATGAACAATAACTGCTTAATTATACAAACGTATGTGTTCAACGCTGCATACATTATTGGTATCTAAATGAATGCAGATTATTTGCGTATTCACGGATGAACACTTGTTAACGATAAAGACTTGTTCATCTAATCTGCTTTTATCAATAAAAGATTAAAAGCAGTTCTCTTTAGGATCACCTTACTGACAGAGAGATAAATAGAGTGAAGCTCAGTAGTAAGTGACAGTATGAATAAATTTAGAAGGCAACAGTTGTACACAACATATGTATTCAAGATGGATACATCAATAAAACATTATGGAATATACAAATCAAGTGATAAAGTCAATACTCAGTTATAAATGGTACTAAGATATTCAACTTACACTTTTACAGAGAGTGACAGTAAATATTTGAATATCCTCGTTGACGAACATCTCAAGGGAATGTTACTAACTGCATTACAATCAAACACGCAAGCACACGCACACACTCAGTGACATATCTCATTAGAACAACTACAAGCAACTGAGAGAATGTCAAATTATGGAAATGATATCGAGTGTACACAACAGTATGAAAATTATAAAAAGAATATTTAAGGACAAAGATGCGGACAACAAATTCACAATATATAAATATCAGATATTTGAGATATGCATAAAACAAAAGAATTTAATTGGATATACCTCAACGATTCTGTTGAACAGTTCCATCCATTGAGCGAAATTTCTCTCCTTCTCTGCGTGACTCTTTCGATCAAAGCAGATCAAGTAAAAGAAACAATTGTTTGGTTGAGTAGACCACATACTGATTTATGCGTATAGACTATAAGCATCACTTGAATACAAAGACAACAACCACCATCAAACACAAAGTAGACTCCAAATATGATGTTCTCATAACATCAATAGTGATAAACAAATAACCTGCATAAATACGAATTCAATGAATCAAGAATTGACGACAGATGAGACTAAGATATTCCATCTAAATATGTAGAAATCCTCGATGCGTTACAGGAAGTAATAAGCGTGACAAATATAAGAAAAGTATTATTGTATTCAGTCGTAAAGATTATTCTCCAATGCTGTAGGCAAACTTGAATTTGGATTATAAATATCAAATCCACCGGTTGTTTGTGAATTGGAAACTGAATGCATCAGGTTTCTACGATGGGATTCTCATATCTCCGTCTCAGTCGGTCTCGATAATAAAAGATTCACAGTCTCATTATCACAAGTAATCCGCTTATAGTGTTTCCGGTGGCGTGTAAAATGAAACAGGATCATATCAGTGAGTCTATTCGATAAACCCAATAGTCCAAGGCCGGAGCCAAGTCTCATTGTGAATGAAAGTAAATTGAATTTCCCAGCTATCCCAGTGACACGGATAATGAACTGTATCCCATTGACATGAGCTAGAATGCGTCTCCGATTCTTCACAGTCTCTGTATCATGACCGAAATACCAAGTGACACGTGCTGCAGAACCTTCATGAACTGTAACAACCTCTTCGTCATCATCTATTATATCATCTTCATCCTTCGGAATGTGTGCTGCATATGTGTAATCGAATATTCCATCTGAATTCTCCCTTGTTGGTTTGTTGTTGATGTTGACGTTGATGTATCCTTTGACTGTGTTGGTGACCACTTCATATAACCACCATGACGACTATAAGTGGAATTATTCACTCGGAGTTTACGCACCTTGTGAACACTCTCCAATTCAAGAAATTCATACTTCGGTAAACAGTATTCAGGAGACCAGTCCAAATCACACTCCCAACTGATTGTGATGGCAATCACTCCACCATATTTCAACAAACGATTGGTGTTCGTCCCAGCGAATTTGAATACATCACCGAGACGGAAGATGGGACAGTATCGATCGACTTCGTGTTCAGGGTTGTACAAACACTCTTGTAGATAATCATCTGTCATCCAGGATAAAACATTTTGTCGTTTCGTATTGAATGCAGGAAATTCTATGCTGTTTTTAATGAGCATTGTGAAATTGACAACTTCGAATAGAGGGTCAACGGAATGTGGTGTGAGATCATTAATTCGATTTTTCACTTCTAAAAATCGTAAATCTGTGAAGTAGTTATAATATCCTTCTATAATATTTGGTGGTCGAATCAATCTCATCCTCGCATTACGTTCTTTCCTCAATTCATATTCATAGTCATCACCAGTTGGACACCAACCGAATATTTCACATTTCCCATGATCTTTCAAACATTTCCCTGTGAATATTCCATGTCCACTCTCATCGATTGCAATCGAGTTCTCATCTGGTACGATACCATCATGACCGAATGCTTGGAATCCAGCTTGATAACCGGCTGGACAGTGTTGATCTTCTAGACATTGTGCATCAGGCAGTCGATCACCTTCACTACACGTTGTCATACGTTGTACTACAAAGTGTCTAATTGTTGTTACCAAATAGAATTCAGAATTCTGTGTTGGTTGTAGTAGGTAATCTCCACTATCCAATACAATTATTCCATTTGCATCACGGTTTTGATGTTCAAATACATGTTTCCATGCAATACCCTTCACTTTGACTGCGACACCACTGATGGGACGATCGAATGACTGGTAACCTTTGTGCAACCACATCACATATATAACGAAATATGTGAATATGAAGAATTGAATGAGTCGATGTATAATTGCTAGCGATGGTTTTTGTATGAGTACCTTTCTTGGCATTTCGAAGATAAACATCGCTGACTCAGTTTATTTGTATTGTATGAATTCTAGTGTCGTGTCTCTATTAATACGGTTAATTTTGTTAACGCAGATAATTTAAACATATTTGCCATCGCCATTATTATCATTATTATTCTAAGCATTATTAATATTATTATTATTGAGCATAAAAATAGGCATGACAAACTCATTTGAACAGTCTACATGCGTTGATGATTTATACTCCAGTCAGTTCGTGTAACAAAAATCATAACAGTGATTCAGTGTGTAGTCTCTAACTATACATATATGCCCTTCAACTGTGTCTGAAGGAAACATTCAACAGTAAGGTTATATATATAATTCAATGAATAATTTTTAAAAAAATTGTACTACTATTATTTTATCATTCTATTCAATATTCACTTCAGATCATATCTATAGAGACGGGTAAACAATGTCCACATAGTCTATAAGCTCACATTGAACATTGAATCGTAACTATACTAATCAAAATTGTTACAAAATGAGACAATTATTCGGAATGCAAAGATGAAAGCAATGCCATTAAGTTGACAATATCCATGTTAATGATACGATGTTTACATAATTCCTTCCCAATGGTCCTATACATTGAAAGTTGTCCTTTTTATATGTTATTGTCTATATATAACCATACTGTCTTTATTTTCTGCATATATGATTATTTCTTGTTTATAATGTTGCATTTCCAATTAGACATAATTTTCCTGTTTCTATCTTTCCACTGATTCCAGATATCATCAAGTGAACTACTCCTGGAAGGCTTGTAGTCGCCAGATTTATTTGATTGTCGTCTGAACGCAAGAAACTAATTTCTACGTACTACTTGCTGTATAACCACCAAAACTTTGATGAGACAACCGCTATCACGAAACATTCCAGTGGTAGGGAACAGACGATTACTATTCTTTTTCTGTATTTCAGAGCTCCTATTAAAACAATAACAACATCAAACTCAAATTTACCCCAACAGTGCCATAAGGCAGCCATGCAGGCAATGTGCATTTCAAAAAATACAAAACAAGTACTGTAAGGCAAAATTAGTTAACCAAAGTCCAGCTGTAAAGGAGAATATTCACAACGAGGTGGGATCAGTCGCTCTCACATCACAAGAATCACACAGCAACGCTCCCCGAAGACAGTCGTAGTATAAAATGACCTTCATCCAACCAACCAAACTCATATCGTTAAACAACACATTGGAACATGAGATATAAGCGAACAGTATTGTTGTTTTCGATTAGATCTTCTTCAGGCTTTACTCGAATTTACAGTGATTTATGATAGAGTATTTGCTCATGAACTGGCTCTGGTTAGAGGACTATGGTTAAAATTGAGATTACTGGACAGCTGTTTCGTTCTTGTTTGGGACTTTTCATCTGTAGGATCCCAACAAGGTTCATATACATGACCTTCTGTTTACAACATGAATTCCTCCAACCAATTTAACTAAATCCCCACAAAAACCAATACTCGAGAATTCATCTTTATAATCGTCGTTATTAATCATGTTGGAAACATGTAACAAATTGTTATTATTATTATTTGATCCACAAAATCACCATTATTGGTTGACAATTTTACGCAAAAATCTCTTCAAGTCTTGGTTTGTAGGGATGCGGTTGATTTGTTACAGGATTTCATCATGAGCTGACATCAGTTAGAGAACTATCGGAAAACCTGGGAGTACTGGACAGCAGTTTCGTCCTTGTTTGAAACCATTCATCAGTACACACCCACCGTGTATGAGGACAAATACTCGCAGAAGACATTGGCTAGTGGTTTCTCTATATCGTGAATTGGCAGAAGTTGAAATTCATGGCCCATTAGATTGAATCATAGTGGATCAATGTTGTAAACAGAAGGTCATGTATATGAACCTTGTTGGGATCCTACAGATGAAAAGTCCCAAACAAGAACGAAACAGCTGTCCAGTAATCTCAATTTTAACCATAGTCCTCTAACCAGAGCCAGTTCATGAGCAAATACTCTATCATAAATCACTGTAAATTCGAGTAAAGCCTGAAGAAGATCTAATCGAAAACAACAATACTGTTCGCTTATATCTCATGTTCCAATGTGTTGTTTAACGATATGAGTTTGGTTGGTTGGATGAAGGTCATTTTATACTACGACTGTCTTCGGGGAGCGTTGCTGTGTGATTCTTGTGATGTGAGAGCGACTGATCCCACCTCGTTGTGAATATTCTCCTTTACAGCTGGACTTTGGTTAACTAATTTTGCCTTACAGTACTTGTTTTGTATTTTTTGAAATGCACATTGCCTGCATGGCTGCCTTATGGCACTGTTGGGGTAAATTTGAGTTTGATGTTGTTATTGTTTTAATAGGAGCTCTGAAATACAGAAAAAGAATAGTAATCGTCTGTTCCCTACCACTGGAATGTTTCGTGATAGCGGTTGTCTCATCAAAGTTTTGGTGGTTATACAGCAAGTAGTACGTAGAAATTAGTTTCTTGCGTTCAGACGATAATCAAATAAATCTGGCGACTACAAGCCTTCCAGGAGTAGTTCACTTGATGATATCTGGAATCAGTGGAAAGATAGAAACAGGAAAATTATGTCTAATTGGAAATGCAACATTATAAACAAGAAATAATCATATATGCAGAAAATAAAGACAGTATGGTTATATATAGACAATAACATATAAAAAGGACAACTTTCAATGTATAGGACCATTGGGAAGGAATTATGTAAACATCGTATCATTAACATGGATATTGTCAACTTAATGGCATTGCTTTCATCTTTGCATTCCGAATAATTGTCTCATTTTGTAACAATTTTGATTAGTATAGTTACGATTCAATGTTCAATGTGAGCTTATAGACTATGTGGACATTGTTTACCCGTCTCTATAGATATGATCTGAAGTGAATATTGAATAGAATGATAAAATAATAGTAGTACAATTTTTTTAAAAATTATTCATTGAATTATATATATAACCTTACTGTTGAATGTTTCCTTCAGACACAGTTGAAGGGCATATATGTATAGTTAGAGACTACACACTGAATCACTGTTATGATTTTTGTTACACGAACTGACTGGACTATAAATCATCAACGCATGTAGACTGTTCAAATGAGTTTGTCATGCCTATTTTTATGCTCAATAATAATAATACTTAGAATAATAATGATAATAATGGCGATGGCAAATATGTTTAAATTATCTGCGTTAACAAAATTAACCGTATTAATAGAGACACGACACTAGAATTCATACAATACAAATAAACTGAGTAAGCGATGTTTATCTTCGAAATGCCAAGAAAGGTACTCATACAAAAACCATCGCTAGCAATTATACATCGACTCATTCAATTCTTCATATTCACATATTTCGTTATATATGTCATGTGGTTGCACAAAGGTTACCAGTCATTCGATCGTCCCATCAGTGGTGTCGCAGTCAAAGTGAAGGGTATTGCATGGAAACATGTATTTGAACATCAAAACCGTGATGCAAATGGAATAATTGTATTGGATAGTGGAGATTACCTACTACAACCAACACAGAATTCTGAATTCTATTTGGTAACAACAATTAGACACTTTGTAGTACAACGTATGACAACGTGCAGTGAAGGTGATCGACTGCCTGATGCACAATGTCTAGAAGATCAACACTGTCCAGCCGGTTATCAAGCTGGATTCCAAGCATTCGGTCATGATGGTATCGTACCAGATGAGAACTCGATTGCAATCGATGAGAGTGGACATGGAATATTCACAGGGAAATGTTTGAAGGATCATGGGAAATGTGAAATATTCGGTTGGTGTCCAACTGGTGATGACTATGAATATGAATTGAGGAAAGAACGTAATGCGAGGATGAGATTGATTCGACCACCAAATATTATAGAAGGATATTATAACTACTTCACAGATTTACGATTTTTAGAAGTGAAAAATCGAATTAATGATCTCACACCACATTCCGTTGACCCTCTATTCGAAGTTGTCAATTTCACAATGCTCATTAAAAACAGCATAGAATTTCCTGCATTCAATACGAAACGACAAAATGTTTTATCCTGGATGACAGATGATTATCTACAAGAGTGTTTGTATAACCCTGAACACGAAGTCGATCGATACTGTCCCATCTTTCGTCTCGGTGATGTATTCAAATTCGCTGGGACGAACACCAATCGTTTGTTGAAATATGGTGGAGTGATTGCCATCACAATCAGTTGGGAGTGTGATTTGGACTGGTCTCCTGAATACTGTTTACCGAAGTATGAATTTCTTGAATTGGAGAGTGTTCACAAGGTGCGTAAACTCCGAGTGAATAATTCCACTTATAGTCGTCATGGTGGTTATATGAAGTGGTCACCAACACAGTCAAAGGATACATCGACGTCAACATCAACAACAACAACAAGGGAGAATTCAGATGGAATATTCGATTACACATATGCAGCACACATTCCGAAGGATGAAGATGATATAATAGATGATGACGAAGAGGTTGTTACAGTTCATGAAGGTTCTGCAGCACGTGTCACTTGGTATTTCGGTCATGATACAGAGACTGTGAAGAATCGGAGACGCATTCTAGCTCATATCAATGGGATACAGTTCATTATCCGTGTCACTGGGATAGCTGGGAAATTCAATTTACTTTCATTCACAATGAGACTTGGCTCCGGCCTTGGACTATTGGGTTTATCGAATAGACTCACTGATATGATCCTGTTTCATTTTACACGCCACCGGAAACACTATAAGCGGATTACTTGTGATAATGAGACTGTGAATCTTTTATTATCGAGACCGACTGAGACGGAGATATGAGAATCCCATCGTAGAAACCTGATGCATTCAGTTTCCAATTCACAAACAACCGGTGGATTTG